CTTGATGAAAAATTAGTGACGAACTAGGAAAAGTTAGGAAAATTTTCAACAGGCACATAGAATATCATTGAAAATGTGTGAATCACAAAAATTTTGAAAAAACATATGAATCGGTTGCTATGTTTTGTAGATCATTGAAATTAAAAAACATCTGATAACTTCTAATCGTTGAATGTCCCTCAATTTTGAGAAGTCAGTAGCTCTTAGAACCCATTAGACGATTTCCTGGTGCCTTTCTCTGGTTAACAAACTATTTTCAAAAAATTAAAAGCGATATTCGGCATTAGTGGAAAACAAATAAGACATGTTTGACTCTTTTTTTTATGTATATCTCAAGGCGTTATCAAACTAGATAAGTTAACTCAAATCAAAATGATTTTATGAAATACAATTACTAATTGATATAAACATGTACAACCAAATAATTGATTTCTACAGCCTATCTCTTGGTTCGTGCAGCAATATCACGTGATCGCAGACTTGCACATGCAAATATATTTTACTTTGTCCTTCTTTCAGAAGCTCTTATTCACTAGTAACCGAAAACATTCTGATGTAATTTTATTGCATTTTTCTAGCATCCTTATTTTTATATTCAATGGAAAATGGAGTAATTCAAGCATATTATGGAACACAGGCACGAAAAGCATTTAAGAATATGCCATCATTTCCACGTACCAACGAAGTCATACGAATCGTTCAATTGCTTGAAAAAACTGCCGTTACTCTCGATGGTTCTAGACGGTAATTGCATCATTTGTTTCTATGAAAATTCTATTTAGACAAAAAGAAAGAAAGAAACATGATCAAGAGTAAGGGAAATTTTACTCAAAAATTGATACTACAACAAATGATACGATCTTATTTGGAGACAATAAGTTTACTGTGAGACTATCATGGAGATTTTTATTGCTTTTCTATTAGCTTATGATATTGAACATTTGCTGAAATCCTGTATCAATCCCTATCAATGCAAAATTTCTAGCCGCAAACCGAAATTCGTTTTTTTTTCAAAAAGTTTGTTGAAACCAAAGTTGTTGAGTGAAATATTGAGTTCAGATTTCATATTTGAAGATCAAAACTTCAGACAATCAAATCATTTCTAATTTTTGAGATATTTATTGTGACAAATCAAATGAATATATATACTGTCAATCGAAACAAAAATATACCTAATAAATGTCTGTATAACAAGAGAAAATTTGTCTGGCATACAAATGATACTCTTCAACAATGAAAGGAAAAAGATTCGAAACAAGAAGAATTGGATATCTGAACGGAAAAAAACTTGCATTTTTGTTATTAGGAAAAATTTGATATTTAACTGAAGAAATGATCATTTATTCTTTATGGTTCTAGTGAACTCACATCTTGGTTATATCAAAATTCAGCATCCATTGAATCTACTCGTTTACTTCTCGATGATATAACTATAAGCGAGTTTGCACTTGTGTCTATCATACATTCAGAGAACATATTTGTACTCGTACTCACAAATAATCATTGGATTGAAATCTATTCGGCTAAATCACTTAATAATGAACCTCTCTTTAGTTTTCATCTTCGTTCTCCAGCTCGAGTTCATTCAACACCTAGCGGAATATTCTACGTTGTAACATGCAATGGTATCGTATATTCTATTATTCAACAAATCACTTCTGACGAACAAATTCAATTCAATCAAACAGTCAATATTCAATTGAAGATTCAATGTTCGATGATGTTTAGTTCGGTTTTAACTCTGAATGGATTAGAAAGTCTTATTGTTGTTGCTGACAATGGACAATCGATGGCGATATGGAATATGCAACAAACTGTCTATATTGATATAGATGTTTCATCTTATGTTTCATCATTACAATTGAAAACTATCACCGGTGAACGAACAAAAAATTTATTATTACTATATTTCAATGATAAAAGTCTTATTTCATGTCAAGTAAATCTTGATAAATCAAATGATAAAGGTTCTCTTCGGCTGACTTCATTCGATCGAGCTGATAAATTTTGTCTCAAAAGTTACTGTCTTGCTGCCTACAACAATGGCAAAACTGAGTTTAATTTGCACAATATTCATTCACATACATGTTATGAACCGATTCAACTGGATAATGAATGTCAAGAATTATGCTTGAATGAAACTGCAACTTATGATTTTGCACTAGTTAAACCTCGAGTTTTATTCATGTATCGAATTAATGATTATCGACAATTGGCAAAATTATTTGTCTATGATTTTGTCTCGCTCATCATAACCGATAAAGAATTTCTCGTGTTAGCTATGAATGATCGACGTCTACTAACACTAATGATTGTCGATCCTGATGATTCTACGTTGCAGACAAGAATACAATCATTACCGAGCAGGTAAATATCCTCAGAATGATGACAAGTAAAAACTCTCACTGAGTTGATATCTAGCGCAAGAAAAGCAAGAATAATTCCAAAGAGACTTTTGCTATGTACGTGATCATAACTAATCATAGAACTCGATTAACTGAAATGCATGTAGTTTAACAATCTTTCCAACAGATTTCTTCTAATATTCTATACTATCAGCCCTCCATTTTAAACTTATACGGATCGGAAATTGTTGCATCGCATTGGTCAGTAATTGAATGCAGTTTTCTTCATTTAGGCAACAACTATTAGAGTGCTTGAGGGTACGTGGTTGATTTTTGCAAAAATTACTTTTACACAGGACCGAGATAGAGAAACAAAATTAAAAGCACTACAAAAAAAAGAATAATTAAAGAATACATCACTCCCAGTTTTCATCGATGTTGATGGACCAATACCATGGAAAAGGCTGACTTGATTGTGCTGAAATTTCGACGTTTTACTTCTCGACTTACTCTGTAATTATATGATAGAAAAATAACTTTTCAACAACCCAAACCACTGTGTCACTTATGAAAATTTAAAGTATGCCTATTTTTTTCTGCGCTATAACATGAACATTTTCATGATTTTTCATGTCGTTTTTCTAACTGTTAATACTACAAGGAACATCCCATATATTCTAAAATGTCAGTCAACAATTTGCTAGAAATATAGCATAGTTTAGAGACCATATCAAAATATAGGTTCACAATCAACCTTCTAAACACTTTCAGTCAATTGCATTTAAGATTTGAAGACACAACAAAAATTGAAATAAAAAATCCATTTTAAAGAAAACTTGTAATTTCATCGAATAGAAAAGAAAACTTCTCTGAGTTCAAAAAACAGAAATATATGAGAGTTTTATCTTTCTCTTGTAGGAAAATTTGTTTGTTTTTCTTAAATTTCTACATCATTTAAAGTAACAATTGAATTATTTTGAATGAACTTGATAAGTTATTTTCTTTGAAATAGAAGTCTTCAGCGTATAAGCAAATCTGCAACCACAAAACTTCTTCAACATATAGAGAAATGTGCCAATATGATTTCAAGCGACGAAGACGACTCTGACTTTGAAGAAGACAATACCGAAGTTAATAATCATCCTACAAGCAAGAAAGATAACAAAACTACTATACAAAAACTTGTACAATCTACTCGCCTATTTCGTTTTGTTACTCGATTGAATGGTCGACATTCACTTTCGAAGATGAGTAACGATGAAGATATACGATCGAAACTTATGGCTATATTATTGAACAACGCAGATTCGTTCGATATTGCGACAATTGCAGATGATTCTGACATTGAAACTCATGATGATGATAACGATGTAGAATCTTCCGGTCTTGTTATTGAAAGTGACAAAAAACAACAACAATATGTCGACGTTGACTTGAACGATATTCGTCAAAAGACATTAGAATACGATCGAAAACAACTCAAAGGAGTTCAGTTCGCCAATGCGGGTGATAGAAATTTAAAGTTGTGAACAATTACGCAATTACTTCGAATACATGTAATCTCATTTGATCATCTATCTAGGTACCTGTGACAATTTTATGATCGAAATATTACGATTATGAAAGTTATAAAAAAAAATTCTAGAACTTTATCTTATTTTTTTTATTAAGCTTAGTTTAACTAAATTACCCTTTTCAATACTCTATCAAAACCTGAATAAAATACCAAATAAATAATCATACGAATATTTTTTTCTTAATTCAAAATTTAGCCAACTCAACATTTTAGTTAAATTATTAGATTCGGTTATAGGAGCTTGTGATATCGAAAACATTGGTAAAACTCATGTTTCTTTCCAGTATTATTGCTGAAACGTTTAAGATTACACGTTGGACTACGATATTTTTTTTAGACTTTCTCACACAATCATCAATTAGTCAAATCTCAAATTCGATATTTTGATCGCTTTTTCGTGCTGATCATAATTACTTAGTTATTTCAAAAATAGAACTGAAATTCGATATTTTCTTTGTCAAAAATAGTACAAGACAAATTCCAATGAATGATATCAAACAAGTTTTTGATCGAGAAATGCAAGAATGGACATCTAGTGATCTACTTCAGCGTTCTTAACATCTTATCAACTATTGTATATCTTAAGATACTTTTCACCTGCGATTAATTTTAAAACTGAATACTTTTTAAAAACTTTATGAAATATTTGTTCATTATTTTTCTTCGAGTAATTTGATGCAACACATGATCATGAATAACATTTATTTTTGAACGATGACAAATGAAACGCCCTAAAAACCAACCACTAATAATGGATTCAGATCTTATCACCACTAAGACGTTATGTGTGTGACAGTAAACTATAACATCTACAACTCTTTATTGCTAACTGAAAGTCTTTTCATAATGAAAGAAGATCATCAAGTGATACATATTATATATCAAAATTTTTGTTCCTAAAATAATTCGAACAATCATGTCAATACCAAATTAAAAATTTTTTCATATGGTTCTATAAGGGTATGAGTGAATGTGCTCAGTTCACTGACATGCACACCCACACCCTTGAATTAGAATAGTTACGGAATTTCAGGTCTTCTATTTCAACATGCTTAGAATTTTGATTCCAATTCATATTTGTTTCATTTCTTTGTGTTGCTTTCAATAGATCAAAATATAAACAAGCATAAGTGGACTATCAGCTGCATTGATGTGTGTCGATCAGTTACTTATTATAAACTCATGGGTACAGCCGTGAACAAATTCAGAATAAAGTGAGATGAATGTTTTTTATTTTGCATAACTTCAATATTTTTACTGGGATAACTGAGAATATGAGGATAGCAACAAAATAACGTACAAATATTGCAGAACTCTGGATGTATGATATCTACGCATGTTGAAATCACTTCATTTCGAATATCGTACTCGTTCGTTGACGGCTGATAAGAGCCAAATAGATTGACTCAAAGAAATCGTGCAGTGATTAAAGCTCACTTGGATGAATCCACCATATGAGCGTTCAATGTACATTACAACATTCTCTGACTAGTAAGAAGTGTTACCCACACGTCAATATCTACTAGCGACCGACAACGAATAGTACCTCTGCTTTTCTAATGTGACACTAGAAATGGCTTGTGAATATAAGCATAGCCAAGATAATGCTACTCTTGTTCACTTCTCTCAATCAATCGAGAATAGTGTCTGAGGACAACACTATTTCTTATGAACAATTTACTACAAATATAATGTCCAATAATCAAGAAATGCAAGCTTCAACCAACAAAATACATTGTCATGAATTGAGAAATGGGTTTTTTTTCAAGCGAAACAAAACAACTTATAATTAATTGTTCAATGTTTTTTTTCCAAATCATCCAACCGAAATATATTAGTTTCTCATTAAATTTTGCCGTCATACTGAATACATTAATATTGCATTTTTTTTCTGTTGGAAATAGTATAACATACTCTAGATTGTAGGTGAAGACAGAGTTGTTCAGTTAAAATGTTGAAAAATTCATGGTTAACAGATTTTCAATCAGAAACACCAACACAAAACAGTCAAAAAACAACAAAAGTTAAGATTTCTTCTTGTCTCTCTGCATTGACTTGATATTCGCATTTCCTATCATATTACTTTGGTAATAGTAAAATATATAAAGCAACTATACTAGTGTTTTAATTTGTTATGTGATTGTTGTTAACAATAATAATAACAAACTCATTTACAGTATCTCAAAATGAGATAGAGCGAGAAAATGTATTCATTGTTCAAGTGTATATTGATATTAGGTTTTTGTTTCCTCTCTCTTGAATTTCTATTTCCATATTCTTACTTTTACAAGTCATTAGACGAACTAAAACATATCTGAAGTGAGGCAGCTAATATAATTTGAACGACCAAATTACTTCTAACAACAATCTTTGTCAGAAAAATCCTGAGAATCAAACGCATATTCTCCGATATCAAAGAGAACAACAATTTCTATGTTATATTTGCTGTTCTTCACAGTCTCATTCTCTTGCATATTTTCTTCTGAATCAAGGAATATTGTTCGAGAAAACAGAAGAATAGAATGTAATAGGATGACATAAAATTTACTATACTGACAGGAATCAAATATTTTGCTATACATTTTTGCGTAAATGAGTTGATTTTTGCTCTACTAATGAAAGAAATATCCATAACTTAGATTCATGAAAGGTATCTCTGCCGTAATAGTTTCGAAATGTTCCTTTGCGACTTCATTGAAAAAAAAAGAGAATCTTTCATCAATTGTATGAATAATCATATTTGCTACAAGGTCTCATATCTTGTTACATCAATTTACTCTCACACTTCCAACAATTTGAAGGAAAAAATATGTTGAGCAAATTATCTTATAAGAGTATACGGAGCTTAGAACAGTTTCACTGGTATATTTTATCCGTCTCTTATTGAAAGTGTAAGAGTAGACTGAAATGACAAAATATGAAACATACATGTAAATATGAGATTGGATTAGAATACTCAGAAGCATAGATGGAGCAATTTATCTGTATTGTTCGCTTCAATGATGAGAGTAACCTAGATTATTCGTAGAAGTGATGAAAACGTTTTTTTTACTTCTATAGCGTGCAACAATGACATTTGTAAGCTTTTTTTTGTAAAGTTGTTTTTAAATGATCTAAGAATATTTTCTATATTAGCAGTGAAAAATTACACATTCTCATAAAAGAATGCGACTAATTATTCCATTTCTTTTTGGAATAACAGCTTATAAGTTATCTTGTAGACACATGTGTTTGCGAAATTCTTTTTTCTTTTTAGAAATCACTCTTTCCCAAGAACGACGGTATCATCTAATCGACTTTGTTCACGGTTAATGTGGTGTCAAAATAAAATGCTCATATGCATGTCGTCTAGGACAATTATTGGTTTTTTTATGCTTACGATGGTATTTATGGACTGCACTTTCGGTAAGAACTATATTTTCTTTTTCATTCAGTAGCCATTACATAAATATTTGTATGTGTTTGTGAAATCCTAAAATTCATTAATACTCAAGCGCAAAATGATTAAACACTAGAATTCAGTTTTTTATTCAGTAGTGAAATATTCAACGGGTAAGAGTATTTATACAGTCACCTTTAGTGGTAATCTTTATTCGCTTACCACATGTTTTCATCTATGCCTTGCCTATCTAAAAAAAAAGAGATTATATTCAAGAAAACGAACAAAAAAGAGCGATTCCATCACTTAAATGATAACATAGATCTCTTCTTTATAGTTTGTTTTCTGCTTAACACTTTTTGTCAGAAAGAAAGTAGTATGTATTTGCCATTTTAGAATTATGAAGTTAATAAATAACACAGTTGAAACTAAAAAAAGCCTACAATGTGAAGTATTTGCTTTTTAAGCGTAAATCTAAAATTCAACATTAGTATCTGCTATCTACTTGAGGATTTCGAGCATTATGTTTTACAAGAGGTTTAGTTGCTCTCTAGAACCTCGAATAAGATCGAGATAGATCATATAGAATATCCGTGTTGCATCTCTATTGACCCAAATATAAGATTTCTTTTGTATGAAACACAGAAGTCTTTTAGCACGCTCTGTTTTACATTATTTGTACTCAGTAGATAGAGGAAACAGTTCAATAACTTGGATTGCAAAGAAGACAATGAAATTATAGGTATAGGGCATGATTAATATAAACGTACGAGTAACATCTAACCGTAAATTCTGCAACTTTTAAAGTTGTCTAATAATCATTACTGGAAAATAGAAAAATCAATCATAGTATTATTCAGATGCTCGAACGAAAAGAGTTTTGAAAAATATTTTACTACACAAGTGCATAGAGTTCTATTAAAAATCATGCATTCGGGTGATTCTCATTGTTTAACCGAGCTTCAATACTCATAGGCACAGAAAAGCAAAGTAAAAAATGTTGATTTAATTTAAAAGAAGAAACAAGTTGATATCGACACGTTTATCTATGTTTAGCACAACAAAATCTGTCACCTTCTACACGTTGGGCACAGAATGCTACCACGGTTGCAGGATTGGCAAATGGCACAGCTGGATCGTCTCCATCTACTTTATATTCAAACAATGGAATGAGAATAACAAATGACAATACTCTGTACATTGCTGATTTGTCTAACAGTCGAATTGTTGTGATCGAACCTAATTCAACTACGGCTATAGCTATTATTCAAAATGGATCAGACTCCAATCCTCTATTTATTGCGCCTAATGATGTTTTTGTCACACAAAAATATATCTACGTCTTAGACATAACCAATTCTCATGTGATAAGATTTTTCAAAAATAGAACAAATCCAGTCACCATTGCAGGAATCACAGGTCAATATGGAGGCCCTGATAATACATCAACAATTGGTACTTGCTATAGCATATTTGTCGACAATAACGAGAACTTGTATGTGAGTGACTTTTCTAATAACAGAGTGGTTCGTTATTCATCAAATTCATCAAGTGGTATGCCTGGTGTAGTAATCGCTGGACATGCCATCGGTGGAAGCAACGCTTCACAGTTCAATGGACCATGGGGAATATTTGTCAATGAAGTTGGAACATTGTATGTTGCGGATCTTTTGAACCATAGAATCCAAAGATGGGATAATGGAGCTTCCTCAGGTGTGACTGTGGCTGGCACTGGGCTTGGTGGCAATAATTTATCTCAACTATCCTATCCAATGGCAATCGTTGTTGACTCAAATGAATATATGTATATAGTAGATTCAGGAAATAACCGAATTCTTCGATGGGCACCGAATTCAGATACTGGTGAATGTATTGCGGCTTGTACTGGTAATATTGAAACTGGTGTTGAAACTCTAAATTGGCCGTATACATTGGCATTTGATAGTTATGGCTCTCTCTTTATCAGCGATTCATACAATAATCGAGTACAGAAGTTTCAGATACTTAGTAGTTTTGGTGAGTAGAAAATATGTTAATTAGTACAGCTTACTGCTTTTGTAAAAGACGGCCTAAAAGGAATGTCGAAATATATAGAGTAGAAATGCTTAACACACTCGACACGATTCGATTTTATTAGAGAGTAGCTCTACAGATTCATTTTCGTGTGCATTCATCTTTCGATAAATGCACTCCTTGGTCTTGTCATTCTGTGTTGATCTGTCGTTTTCTCTTTTCTCTTTGTAACATCACACGGAGCAAAGTAACCATTCTGCAGTTTGGCGAAAGTCTTGTGAGATCTTTTCTGCATGGCATGCTATTCGAGAAGCTGAATCAGCAACCCATTTCAAGCGCGGATTCACTGATCGCAAGCTCGAAGAAAAAGAAGGATCTACGCGCAATATCGACAGACGCTGTACTGGCTGCTATGCTAAGGGAAGAGCACAACAGTCAAGAGAAGCGAGCTAAGCGGCAGCAAAGAAAGTAAAAACCTTCTGTTCTGACTGTGATAAATTGTTTTTGTCTTGATTGTTTTAACAAGAAGCATAATGCTATGGAATAAAGGACTCAAAAAAAAGTACTGAAGGGAGAACAGATAACACATTATGTTTAACCTCCTGCCTAATAAAAAAGCAAAAGAAAGTGCTTTTCTATACAGTTTCTCGTTAAAATATAGCGTGACCCACCAGTGGGCCACATCGTGGTGAAGGTGTCAATACCTGATTAGCGATCATATTGTCACTACATTTCATGAAAATACATTGAACCGCTTCATTCTTGTAATTCTAGAAGACTAAGGAAAAGATGATGTAGAAGTGGCTAGGATTACTCTAACAACTTTTCTATTCGAATAACTATAGTATCAAGTTCAACGACAATGTCAACTTTCATAACAACAACATATCACACAACCTCATTCCAAGGTTCGTCAATGTCAAGTAGGACACATTCAACAACATTTACTATGTCAATCGCTGTATTAGTAATTATTTGTTAAATATTTCCTAAAATTTCTAATTAATTATCCTCTACTTTTCTAGTTATTGCTCTTTCGCTATTAAAACTTCACCGACTTTGTCCTTCGTCTCACCAGTATACAATGAACAACAAAAAGGACAAATGGTTTGGATCGTCGGTTTTGATAATCTCTCTCTCACTCTGCTGCACTCATACTTAACTCGCTTGTCGCTTTTGTATCACTATGACAATATTAAACTATTCTTTGTAGATCGGTGAATTGTTGAGGAAATACTTTGTCAGTCATATTTTTGTTTTATTATTATGCTTCAAGTAAAATATGCTTTTGTGAATGACGCTTCATGTGTGAAGTCGATGTAAGTGAACTGCTATATAATATTGAAAATAAAACTCCAAAGCATATAAAGTGGTTGTATAACTTCAACATGTTGCCAGTCCTGTCAGCCTGTTTCTCGCATCTTATTTGTTTGATCTGGGCTGCCATACAGTGGGCAATGAAGTAGATATGCAATGAAAAAATGAGTGCGAACTTTTTATTTTTGAATGACGGTTTATACACTTTCACATCATATTCCATTTACTGAAGCAAAAAAATTGTTTTGGCACGCCAATATACTGAAGAAACCTTGGCAGCAAACTAAAGATGATTTTCAATGACTTCGGACGATGTCAGGAAACACATCTTTTTAGAGAAGCCAGGCAAAGCGAAGTAACATAATGTATCTTCTGGAAGTAGAACTTCTACTTTATCGATTCATAAAAAAAATTTTGCTTTATCTCTGTTCCATTTGAAAAAGTGATCTTTCTTTATACAATGCTAGATTGTTCAAAAAAAAAGTATTCAGTAAAGTAACGTTCCACATTTTTTTCACAGCTTCGATTTGGATGAAGCTTTCACAGATAATTCTTCTTTGTACGGCGCATCTAGATCATATGCATAAATGCTTCTCGGCCGATATATAGGTTTTCGAAAAAACCTTAGTTACTAGTAGTCTTTATTTTTTACCTTCCAAAGCATTTTTAGAGTAAACTAATGCCATATTCAGCATAAGAGATAACTTTTTACTTTTATATCACTAGCAACTATGTAACTACTGTAGTTCCTTCAATAAAAATGTAAAGCAATTATGCCACCCCTAAGAATCAACGAAGTTGTGTAATAATTAGCGCTCGTTTGGATGAATTCGCTTTCTGATCATTCAATATGCTCTCGAAGAAAAACTAGACAGGCTAGACGGCCTGTCATTTTCAAGCGACCTGCCTGGCCTCGTGGCCTGTTCGGACCTCTGACTCCTACAAAACTCTTTTCTACGGTATGCATGTATTCTTATTTGTATTGATTTACTAACCAATATTTGGCATATTGTCGGCATCGTCTCAGATTCTCATTTCGAGAATTATTTGTCAGTGATTAAGTGCAAGCCTATATCTCCATTTCTCCAATGACACAGAATTACACATGCTATCAGAATAAGTAATAATCTTTCTCAAATTTTTATTTTATAGTCATAGTAATGCAGAAAAGAGTGAATCTGTTTTTTTTTGCACGGAAATATATCGTTCGATACAATTTTTACTAATGAATAGTCAAGTTACATTCTTCGATCATCTGGAGTCGGTACTCTAATAATAAGATATTTTTTCTTTAGAAATTACGAGCATCTATATTCAAGATATAAACTGTTTTTGGAAATAATCGAAAATCTTTTTTTGGATTTTATTGCTTGCATGATAGGTTGTGGAAGAAGCTTCATTGTAGGCAACAGTCTTTTTTTGTTTGAAAGAGCATGTCAAGATGCAATACAATACAGAGCGTTTTTTCCTAATTAAGCTTCGTTTCTATAATATATCCAAATACTTCTATGAGTAGACATTCATTTTTCGAGTCATTGACTTTGTCATGTCTTTCCTCCGCTTAAAAAGTGAGAATATAAAAAAATGAGCTCTTTACCTTGTTCAATCCTAACATGTTCTCTCAAACAAAAAAATAAATATATAGAATTTGCCTAGACAGAGAAATTAGGTTTGCCTAATGAACTATTTTTTTTACCCTTATTTTTTGAACATCTTCCAAAAATGTTGCTGAAATTTTTACCATAGTTTCTCCACATTAGCTCTAACATATCCTGAAAATTTTATGCAATTTGAATGTTCCTAGTCGAAGATCGATTTTTGAGGAGAAGAGGATCTTAGATTACTTTATTAGCGAACATTCCAACTTTCAACAGATGTCATTGATAATCAGCATTGAAACAAATTATCAATGATTGGATTGGTTAAAACTAGAACACAACCAATTACTTGATCAATAAGCAACCATTAGTAATTTTACTTCTGTTAAATTAATTCTTTCTCGTAGTAATATGTTCAACTGATTACTTCTATCCAACATGTATATCAAACAAGTAAAAAACATAATATTTAATATTTAATTTCCTATAAACATTTCTTTATTTAAAGGTCATTATTCAAGGTTTTCGTTCTTATCGTGATGAAACAATTTTTGATTCATTTAGTCCACGTTATAATATAATTGGTAACTAAGTTTCAAATAGAATATGATTATTTATGGCTTCAGTTTTTGTTTTCTATTTAGTTGGACGAAATGGTTGTGGAAAATCGAATTTCTTTTTCGGTTAGTTATAATTTATTGTGTTTACATATTTATTATTATAAAGTTGTTTTTTTTTTGTTTAGCAATTCAATTTGTATTAAGTGATGAATTTAATAATTTATCAGCTGAAGGTCGTTATAATTTAATGCATGAAGGTATTAATAGTCGAGCATTAAATGCATATGTTGAAATTATATTTGATAATTCCGATAGTCGAATTATGGTTTGTTCATTTGAAAGTTTTATAGTAGTTATTATGTTGTTAAAATTAGATTGATAAACCTGAAGTTGCTGTACGTCGACAAATAAGTGGAAAAAAAGATAATTATTTTCTCGATCGTAAAGTTGTTAAGTATGTTTAAATAAAATTTTTTTAATTGATTTTTATTTATAATAAATCATTTTATTCTAGTAAAACCGATATAATTAATATGCTTGAAGGTGCTGGTTTTTCTCGATCAAATCCTTATTATATTGTTAAACAAGGCAAAGTAAATGTTTAATAAAAAACAAAAAATTAATCAATAAATTGAATTAAATTATTTCTATAGATAACTCAAATGGCTATTGCACCAGATGCTAATCGACTTCAATTATTACGTGAAGTAGCTGGTACAAAAGTATATGATGAAAAAAAACACGAAAGTGAAGCTATTCTTGTTGAAACTGGTAAACAAAGAAAAATTATGCAGAAAAATTATTTCTTTTTTTTTTTTAATTTTTTTTAGAGGAACGTCGAAAGAAAATAGCAGATTTATTAAAAGCTATTGAAGAACGTTTAATAAGTCTTGAAACAGAAAAAGAAGAACTTAAACAATATCAAAAATGGGATCGATCAAAACGTGGTTTAGAATGTGCTATTTGTACAAAGGAATGTGAAGATGCAAAAAGACGTATTGATGAAGTAAGCCTTTAGAAGATTGGTATCAATTCAAAAGACAAAACACATTTCTTAAGAGGGCTTCCAATTTGACTATTTCGATCTTCATATCCCTTTGAAGAAAGCATCGGAGCTCTACTTATCAAGCTGTATCTGTTTTGAAAGTTGTAGTGCAAGGGTGAATTTAGAGAGAATACTCAGAGTGATCGCCTCTCTTTTCCGAAGTATTTGTCAATTTTTCTCAGCAGAAAATATCCTAAGCAGCGTTTTATCCAGAGGGGTGCTCGGGGAGGAAGGAGGCGGCGCTCCTTCTCCCGAAAATCGAGTTCGCCTCTACGAGACTCGAGATCATCGCGCGACGAAACCTATACGGCTTGCCCTTCTCCCCCTGAAAAAAATTTTTCGCCCTCCCGGAATGGCAAATCGCCCCTCCGGAGAAAAGAACCTGGATAAAACATTGACCCTAAGTGAGTCTGGCGTAGAAGCTTTTAAGGATAGTAAAAACCATAACTCTATGTGAAGCCTAATCGATTGAACAGGTTATAAGAAACCATATTCATATAGTAAATTTTATTATATTTGTCGATTACATATTTTTTCAAAGTCAGAAAAACTTAGATTTTTTGGTAACACACTGTATTATTTAGGAATATAGGCGCTAATAGGGATTAGAGACAGTAGATAGAATACCATTTTCGTAAAGTTTGAAAGTTGGATTGCTCATTTTACAGGACTAGCCATTCGGACGACACCCTAGAAAATAAAAAACACTTTATTATCTTATTGAGCTCTGCTGACAAATTAAGAATCGATCAGTTTAATTTCATTAGGGACAAATTTTTCCGATAAAATCGCGATTTTTGGACAACTATTTTTTTTTTAACAAAATTATTAGACCATTCAATAAACTATATTTCGAAGCATCGTTCTCTATATTTAAATGTTAAAAAAGCGCAATTTTTCTTTTTCGCCAAATGCTCGCCTAGCTGCACACTGTAACCCTCTCGCTTGTGTAACAGATTGTAACAGACGTCATTGATATACTATCAAAGATCGTATATCAATAATGTCTCACTATAATATACGAATCAGAGATGAGCACAGGACAGGACGTCCTATTGTCCTGTCCTGTCCTGCCGCCCGCCAGAACAAAAAAATTAGCAGGACAAAATTTTGATTTTTGTCCTATCCTATCGCCCACCAGGACAGAAAAGTTAATAGGACAGAACAGGACAGGTAAAAGAAACCTTGTCCTATGCTCATCTCTAATATTTTTTTTCTTGAAAATAGTATAAAATCTATTAGTTAGAGAATATTAATTGGTGATATTTGCTTTGTACAATGAAGGTAAAAGTAAAACTCTCACTCTTGGCATTTTACAACCTGTGAAAACAGATTTAATTGGCAGTAAAATGGCAGAAATTGTGTCATCTTGTCCTGACGTCCTCCAGTACAGAAAAATTAGCAGAACAAAAACAGGGCAGGGCAAGATTTTAATTTTTGCCCTGTCCTGCCGCTCGCCAGGACAAAAACAGGACAGGATAAAATTTTGATTTTTGTCCTATCTTGCCGTCCGCCAGGACCGAGATAGCTAGCAGGACAGGAGAGAAAATCTTATCATGTGCTCATCTCTGATACGAATTACTTCCTTATGGGATTACTAAAATCAGCTACATTGTATTTCCCAATTTAATTCTCTAGGTTTGCGTTAACATTGTTGTTTTTAAAACAATAGTATAATTTACATTATTCTCATTCGAAGTAAATGATTATTTTCTTAATAGCCTATTATTTAATTTTATAGAAAAATAATTCTTATTAATATTTGTTTTATTTTATTTTATTTTTTTTCTTCAATTAGATTGTAGTAAAAATGAACAGTTCAACAAAAAAAAATGAACAATTAGAAACTGATCGGCTTACTGTAACAGAAATGATTCAAGTAAAATTTTTATAATTAATTATTATTTTAATAATTGAATTTCATTTTGTTTTTAATTAGCAAACAATAGATTCTATAACTGAACTTAAACAACGTTTACAAACTCAACAAATTGAACGTGAAACATTAATTATTGATAATAAAGATAATTTTCAACGTAAAGCACAAATTGAACTTGAATTACAAGATTTTCAAAGTGAAACATCACAACGTGATACTAAACGTAATCAACTTCGAAAAGAACTTGAAAAATATGATCAATTAATAAATGAAAGTGAACAAAAATTAACTAAAATTATTCCTGAATATAATATAATAAGACGACAAGAAGAACAAAAAACAGCTCAGTATGTTTAAAATACAAAAAAAAAATAAATAAATGTTTTTTTTTTTGTCTATCATTTAGACGTGATCTTGCTGAAGAAAAACGTAAAGAATTATATGCTAAACGTGGTCGTGGAAATCAATTTACATCAAAAGAAGATCGTGATAAATGGATTCGAATTGAACTTAAATCATTAACTAAAGCCATACATGATAAACGTGAACAAGTATATTTTTTAAAAAAGAAAATTAAAAAAAAAAATTAAGCTTTTCTTTTTTGTAATTTGAGATGGAACGTTTAAAAAAAGATTTACAAGATGATACAATAAAATCACATGAAATTGAAGAACAACTTCGACAAATTGTCGATAATGAAAATGAACAAAGAACACATATGGATAATGTTAATATAAGAGTACGAGATCTTCGACAAAAGAAAAGTGATATTGCTACTCAAAAAACGTAAATAAGATATTTACATATTTTAATTTATGATTTTATTGAATTTGAATTATATTTATAAATATAATAATTCATAGAGAATTAGCACGAAAAGAAACTCAACTACATATTCAAATAAGTCAAACTCGAGATGAATTACGAAAATATCAAGATACACTTCGATCTATTATAAACAAAGTATTATAAAACAAAAAAAAAATAAAATAAAATCATTGATTTTTTTTTTTTATTCATTAACTAAACATATTTATTAGGGTGCAGCATTAGGTACCGAAGGTTTACAACGTTTACTTCGTCAATTTGCTGATGAAAATCGTAATCAAGATATTATAAATGGTTATCATGGTACATTAATTGAAAATCTTGAATGTGATCCAACTTTTTATACTGCTGTAGAAGTTATTGCTGGAAATCGGTTAGTCATTAAATGATTTTTGCATTTTTTAATTAAACATATGAACTATTTTCTTATTATATTTCTGAAAATATATTCGAAAATAGATAGAATCAAATACAGAGGCGGCACGAAGAGGTAAACGCAAGGGGGGGGTGGAAACCTCCGAAAAATGTAAAAAAAATCAAATTTTGAGGTAATCGTTGAGCAAAAAAAACGAAAATTTTCAAAACCAGGGGAGTACCCCTCCCTCAACCCCCCGCTTGCGCCGCCCCTGATCAAATAATCTTCCTAAGATTAGCAATAATAACTATATTGTGTTTCATATTTTACTCTTATAGACATTGTACTAACAATTATATTTCTTTTTGAATATTTAGACTTAATTATCATATTGTTGATTCGGATATTATTGCAACACGATTAGTTAAAGAATTTAATAGTGCTCGACAACGTGGTGAAATACATTTTTTACCATTAAATGTCTTAGATATACAAAATAATAATTTACCAAAAATATCTGGTGCTTCACCATTAATTGATCAACTTCAATGGATACCAAAAGCTGAAAAAGCAGTACGACATGTATTTAATCGTATTATGCTTTGTGAAGATTTTAATTCTGCTACACGTACAGCTCGACAATATGATGTTGATTGTGTTACACTTGATGGTAAAAAAAACAGTTTTTATTTTATAAAACAAAAATTTCTCTATATTGTTTATTTAGGTGATCAAGTTCAACGTAAAGGTGCATTAACAGGTGGATATATTGATAAGAAAGTTTCACGTTTAGAATTACAACATTCAATAAAACAATTAAGTACAATATTAAATAAATATGAACAAGAATATAAAATAATTCGTAATGAAATCATGAATATTGATAATGAATATAATAATATAATGGCAGAACTTCAACGTGAAGATATGAAATCAAAAAAGAATTGGTAAGATAAATAAATAATAAAGAAATTTATACAAAACAAAAAAAAAATATGATAATTTTTAGGGATAATTATGAACAAATGAAATCTGATGCTAAATATCTTCAATCAGAACTTGATCGAATTGTTACTCATCGACCAGGAAAAGTAAATTGATTATATATCCTATTTTAAAATTAGTGATGTATTGAAAATAGAATTTTTTCCCGGATTTGTGTTCGCTTTTGAAAAGAATATATTATTTCTAATGTATTTCTGTAGTTTGCTCAACGAAATATTTATCTGTTTTTTTTGTCCGGTAAAATAACATTGACAGAACAGTAAATCGTTTTCATTCAATAGTTTGCCCGTTATTTATTTTCATCCTTTTTTCTTTCATTCAACGTATAGTTATGTTTATGATTCATTAGTTCTTCTACTTGTATATGAGTAAAAAAGACAATCCGTCATTAATATCTGTATGCTTTGCAAATTTTTCAAAGATTCAATTAGTACTGAGAGATGATAATGCATATTGAATTATGATTCGAAGAGCATAATTATGTTACTAACAATGGGAGGTTCTCAACTGATCCAACCTGTTTCCAATAGTATGTCATTCATATACTGAAGACATTATTCGAGGCACTATCTCTACAAGGATTTAGACTATTTATTAACTTTTTCTAAGAAAGTCATGACTATTTCATTGGTTTTTCAAACTAGTGTAAGGTATTTACGAAGATGTTGAAAAGAAAAGTTTCATTGAAAAAAATATTTTCTTACTTTGATGTTGCACTGTTCAAAAGCTGAATGTTTCTGTACTTGTGCTAATAACTACAAGAATAATATATAAGGACAAAATTTGAGACTGAAATTATAGAAAAACTAATAAAACAGTCATCACTATCAGTAGGATCCAATATCATTCTCATTTTTCTTAAAACAGTATCCCTAAAATATGAACAAAATACCATTAAAACAACTTGCATTAATTGAAGATCTTCCCTCATGAGTTATATGTCAACAGTAGACATGTGCGGGACTAAGGTTTTTTTGATTTTGATCCGAATAGAATCGTTTCCATCTCGATGATTTTATTTTTTTTGAATTTCGATTCAGACAAAAACTATTTCAGAATTTATTCTTATCATATCTTAAAAATTCTTCAATATATTCGTTTTTGTACAGAAAGCATTATAAATGTTTCTCATCAGTAGCAAACATATCTGAAGTTCAGATTTAAATAGATTTCATAATTCTTTATGGAAATCTATAACAAAAATTCTTTTTATTCAGAGAATTTTTTGAACAATTTTCTTACGATCGAGCAGTACAGATTTTAGAATAAAGTATACGATCGTGAGAATTCTATATCTCATTGAATTGTAATCATATTTCTTAAAGGAACGACAATTAAATACACTTATTGCAACAATTGAACAATTTTGTGCAAAAGAAGAATCTTTACAATCTGAAGTTGGTAGTGATCTTGTTTCACAATTAACTGTTGATGAACAAACAACAATTGATAAACTTAATGATACAATTGAACAAATAACACAAGAATTAAAAGAAATTATTCAAAAACGTGTTGAAGTATAATTGATTAATTTAAAAACTAACATATATATATATTTCTTTGTTAAAATAGCTTGAAAGTACAAAAACAAAACTTGAACATCAAATTGCAAATAATTATCGAAAAAATCGTAATCAAATAAATACAGTATGATATCTAAAAAAAATAGAAAAAAAAAAAATTTAACTGTTGAATTTTTTGTGTCAAAAAGGATCTTGAACGTATGCATATAGAAAATGCTCGTAGTGTTATTGAAGATCTTGAACGTGAATATACTATTCTATCGGATAAATTAAATGAACATGAAAAACAAACTGATGGTAAAAATATTTTTCATATAAAATCTACTTTTGTTTTTAAAAATGTTTGCTTGTTTTTTTTTTGTAGCTATTGATCGAATAATTAATAATTTAGATAAAGAATTAAAAAATAAACAAAAAGAACTTGAACAATTAAAGGTAAAATTGAATAATGATTTTTTTATAACTAATTATTTTTTTTGTAGAATTCAAATAAAGATATTGATGAACATATTAATGAAGAAAAACGTAATACAGATAAATATGAAGTTAAACTACGAAATGCACAAAATAAGGTATCGTAGTATTTTAGTAGAAAAACTTAAGATTTTTGTTCAAAAATAGTTAATTCACATAAAAATGTAACAAAAACTTAGGTGGCAGGCTCTGCTCGGAACTAAAAAAAACTTTGCCCGTGAATTCGATCACCGAAATGCTGTTTCTAATTTTCTTGAGTTTTTCAGTATCTAGACTGTACAGATCTAACGAGAGAAGGTTCCTAACTGATTCACGCCATTTTCAATAATATCTTGTTCATATATAGGGGTCATTATTCTACGAAAAATCCTAAGAGAGTTTGAGCTGATGGTGCTTTCTTCGAAGGTTATTACCATTTTACTAATTTTCCGATCTATGATAAGATACTTACAAAAAAAAGTCGAATAATGAAATTTTTCCATATGAAAATCTTATAGTCCTTAGTATGTGCTAAATATTTCAGCGAGAATGAATGTTTCTTTCTCGAGTTAATAAATTTGTAATAAATATCCGCATTTCACAGATTCTCAGAAAAATCGAGTCTTCTTGGACATTCATTATCTGAGGAATAGAACATCCGTTTTCGCTGAAACTTTTAGCATATACTAACAATCACGAGACCTTCATATGGTCAAAATTTCATCATTCGACTTTTTTGTAAATATCTTACCATAGATCGAAAAATGGCCATAACTTTCAAAGGAAGCACCGTCAGCCCAAACTCTCTTAGGATTTTTCTTAGAATAATGACCCCTATATTTGAATAAGATATTATTGAAAATGACATGGATCAGTTGGAGACTTTCTCTCGTATGTCATACCTGGTAATGTTCTTGTTTGATCTTTAATAAGAAAATTTCTTTTTTCAGCTTGATGAAAGTGCAAAACGTCAAAATGATATTGGTGTACCACCAGATGGTCTTGATAAATATAAGGATATTCCAATTAAACAAGTAAAAATCTTTTTTCGTATAATAAGAAAAAACAAAAACCTATATTTATATAACTTATTTTATTTAGCTTCAACATGATCTTGATCGTGCTATAATTGAATTAAAAAAATATGCTCATGTAAACAAGAAAGCACTTGATCAATTTTTACAATTTAGTGATGAACGTGATAAATTAACAAATCGTAAAGCTGAAATTGATGAAGCACATCGTGTATGTTCCCTCTTTTTTTTTATTTAAATATTTAGAAAATAAAAACATTCAAATTTTCTTTTTTTTTTTTTATTTAGCATATCGTTGATTTAATTGAAAGTCTTGATAATAAACGTTTTGAAACAATACAATTTACTTTCAAACAAGTTTCATTATATTTTACTGAAGTATTTAAACGACTTGTACCCGAAGGTACAGCTCATTTAGTTATTAAAAAAGGCGATAATGAAGTTTGTTCTATTTATTTTATATTCAAAAAAACGAAATGAACAAACAATATTTTTTTTTTTTATTGTTTCTTCTTCAGGATTTTGATAGTGAACAAGTTTCATTACAAAGTCCTGGTCAACAAATGTCTGTTGATGATTTTACAGGTGTTGGTATTAAAGTATCATTTAATGGTCGAACAAATGAAATGCGTGATATGCAACAATTATCTGGTGGACAAAAATCACTTGTTGCATTAGCATTAATATTTGCTATACAAAAATGTGATCCAGCACCATTTTATTTATTTGATGAAATTGATCAAGCACTTGATCCACAATATCGAAATGCTGTAGCTGGTAAAATATTTAATATTTCAGGTTTTTTTTTGTTTTCAAACTTCAATATTTTTGTTTATTTAGAAATGATTAATGAGTTAAGTCAAAAAGCTCAATTTATAATAACAACATTTGGTCCAGATTTACTTAAATATGGTGATAAATTTTATGGTATAACATATCGAAATAAAGTTAGTCAAATTCGATCAGTTACACAAGAAGAAGCATTAGAATTTGTTGAAGATAATGAAATACAAAATCAAGTTGCACAACCAACAACAGTTACTACTTCAAGTTAATTAGACTTTTATATTTCTACAAAAAACAAAAAAAAAAAGAATATTTTATGGGTGTGTGTGGGTGTTTTATGTCCTATTTTGTTTTGTTTGTACATGATGTAAATTTTCGAGGGAAAATATTTATGTTTTCAATATTTTTACGTGTATGTTTTAGAAAAAAAAAAAGAAATTTATTAATCCGATTTTATTTCTTCAGATATAAAATATTTACAAAATAATGATCACAAATATATGAGGATAAGTATTTATTTAAATGATTAGATATGATTATTTTTATATGTATTTGATGAGTATATGAAATTATATTTTAATTATGGTATAAGACAGGGTAATTAAATTAATATGCAGTTTTTATACATGATATGAACATTCATTAGATGTTTTTGAACAAAGATATATTCAGTTATATTAAAAAAAACTGAAGATCATATATGTGATATCATAAAATGTTATTTTAAAATTATTCTGTTTTGAAAAACTTACTCAAATAAATATAATCAATTTATTAGTTTGAATTCTAGATAAAAAAGAATGGCACCTGATCTTAATAAAAAACTTGAAGATGAGGTTGAAAAATATCGACAAACACAAAATGGTAAAAATATTTGATTAAACTCATCTTTTTTTTTTAATAATTGTTTAAAATAGAAATGAAAAAATTTGTAACACAACAACAGCAATTATTTATAACAAAAACTGAAAATGAATTTGTTAAACAAGTAAGACGAGTAAAACAAAATTATCCGTTCAAACAATTGATTTGTTATTTAGGAATTTGAAAGTCTTGATTCTGAAGCTGTTATTTATAAACTTATTGGTCCTGTACTTGTCAAGCAAGAATTAAATGAAGGAAAAGAAACAGTTGAAAAACGACTTGTTTATTGTGAAGGAGAATTGTAAGAATATATTGAATACAATTAAAACTTGATTGTATATTGTTTTTTTTCTTTAGAAAACGCTTAGCATCATTAATGAAAGATACTGAAAAGAAATTAGAAATTCATCGTGAAGTTATAGCAAAAATTCAACAACAAATATCAACAAATAAATAAGCTTTTCATTTAAACTTTTTGCATGATTTGCTTGTTCTTTTCATAAATAAAATTTTTATGCACTGAATAGTTGTTTTTGTTTTTCTATTATTCTTTCTTCAGTGCTTAACATAAGAAAAATTTTAACAAATACATGATACAACTGAAGTAGACAAAGAGAATACAGAAGGAAGAATTTGGTGAACATAAATGAGTGCAGATCTTGGTCGACAGTCACTTCAAATTTTGAAGCATTTTCATAACATCCGTGATTTTGTTTTATTTGCATTGATGTATATAGCTGTCAGTAGATAGTATTTAGCTAGTAAATAGAACTGTCATATATGTAAATGAATTTCAAGGTGTTGTTCACAATTAGAATGAGTATGAGGTTTGGATAATTGTTACCAACCACGTTTTCAATCAAGTTTGAAATAACGATATACAGAAGTATGCCTTTTTACTTTTGGATTTGTATTCTTCTAATAGAATTCTTGATTTCGATCGCAAAAATTAAGCATTTTTGTAAATAAAATTAGTTACCTAATGTGTTTCTCATTGTAAATTGGTTTTGACTTATTAACATAACTTGCTCATCGAAATATTACTTTGCCTAAGAATCTGCTTGTTTGTAACTGATGTTTTTTGAATAGATGCTTGTTCAATATAGTACACTGATTAAAGTTCGTAGTGTTTGCTCAGAGTCCATCTATTACTTCACTAGAGTTATAGTTATCATGTAAAATTCATATTAAGCTCGATATTTGATTGTACATTAATTCGGAACGAGTAGATTAGAGAATTATTTGAGAATCGACTAACAGAAAGAGTGAGGGCGGATGTAACCTTTTCTTGTTATTTTTGGTGAAAGAAGCGATCTACATTAAAACGTATTATCATGTGAAAAAATGAAGATGTATCTCAATTTGAAATTGAGTTTTCTTGCGATCTATAAATTTGAAAAGGCACGTGAAACGTTCGTTAAGTATGGCCGACTGTGAAATATATATTATCAAGATTTGGTTTGTGAAGAAAAACTCTACAATCAAGTAATGGTTATTCATCCGACTAATGCATTAACAGTAGGATACAAACAGAGGGGTGGACCATTTCCCCACTTCATAGAGAAACCGTTCCACTTCTAGCAGAAATGGTTTAACCTCAAATAGTTAAGCAGAAATTCTTTTTTCAACATCGAATTCCCCTTCAATACAAATCAATACTTCACTATATATCATAAGAAACGGTTATTTTTTAAAAGGAAATCCTTCCTCCATATCTCCAGTTATAAGAAGAAATGGAAATAAAGCGTAGAGAAATGGATAATTAATTTTGATCCATTCCTTTATTTATAAAGAGAAATGGATTTATTCAAAGAGAAATGGATTATTTTATTTTCTCTCTTATATACGATTTTCTAGCAGATATGGATTTATTCCAGCAGATATGCTTAAAATACAAAGAGAAATGCTTCATCCATTTCTCTATGTATAAAGAGAAATGGATTTATTCAAAGAGAAATCGATTATTTTATTTTCTCTCTTATATACGATTTCCTAGCAGATATGGACTTTTCCCAACAGAAATGGTTAAAATACCAGGAGAAATGCTTCATCCATTTCTCTATGTATAAAGTGAAATGGATTTATTCAAAGAGAAATCGATTATTTTATTTTCTGTCTTATATAGGATTTTCTAGCAGATATGGATTTTTACCAGCAGATATGGTTAAAATAC